CGCTAAGTATTCTAGACTTTTTAAAGAGGAGTCAAATCGCTGCAAAGCGAAGGCGGAGCGAGCCGGCTGAATAAAAAAACGACGGGGCTAGAAAAGTGGCGGCGAATCAGCTAACAAAAAAAAAAAGAAACACAATAGAACGCAAACTGATCCGTTTTGCACATTGTTGCAGACAGAGGTTTGCGTGGCTTGTAAAGCCCAGATTCTCGCGCAGCCTTCGGAATTAAAAACAGCCCAAAAAGACGAGCACTAGACGAAAAATTGACACGGTCGCAGAGCCGCACAATTCTAATTCTGAAGTCCATTTACCATACACCACAAATTGCGAATTTGTCGATGATATGAAACGCGATGAAAAACAAAAAGCACGCTATGTACGACGACTTAATTTACATAATAGAGGGTGTCACAAAAAAACATTTACAGGGTTGTTTTTCTTAACCGAAAAAATAAATTAGGCATCGCCGAACGCTCATTTTCCGTCCAATTGTAGCGCTAGAGGTTACAATCAGATGCGAAAATTTCAGCCCGATTCGATAGCTTATTCAAAAGTTATCAGTGATTTTCTGAAAATTTCAGTGGCAAAATGGTGGCCGACGGAGTCTACAAATACATTTGGCTTTATGGCACCAGAAACCAAAAGCGGGCAAAAATTGTATTCCCAAAATAATGCAGGGATGAGCGTAGGTCATTTCTTACAAATCGTACAATGTTACCTGTCAGCGACTGTAGTAGCTCATCAAGAACACCAGTACGTGCAAAAAAGTGGAGTGTGCATCGGCTCACAAGTGGCTTCTCTTTTATGTGATATTTTTTCTTGCCATGTGTGGACGAGCCATCGAGAAGGTACTATAAGATACACGCATAGCGGGTATTTTTAGGTATGTGGACGATTTTCTTATTCTATCCACCACAAAAATTAACGAAAAAGAAGACGGATGCCTCAACACCACCATGACACTATTCCAACAAAGCTGTTTGGGCCTAACCTTCACCTACGAGACTCCTGTGGACGATTCCATTCGGTTTCTGGAGTTAGCTTTGGCATTCAAAACATGATATGTATGTGGGAAATATCAAGCACAATCGGGGAAGGCATTTCTTCTTTATGAATCGGAACATTCTAAGAACGTAAAACAAGGTGTGGCCATCTCAGCTCTTACAGCAAGTCTAAAGAAATCATGTCGACATCAAGTACAAGTACATGAAGTTCATCTGGTGCTCCTGTATAGCTTGTGGTGTCTTTTGAAACATCATCTGGTCATTTCTCTGAGTGAAGAAATGGCGGCTATACGACCGATACAAATAAGTGCCTTATAAATTGATTGTGTTAAATGGTTTGTCAGCGAGAATAAAGCAATTACTCCATGGCGTATTAGTTGCCGCCGCTTCCAAAAAAAATACTGATGCACCACAGATTTCCCATAAAGCAAGGCATATGTGTCAAAAAAAAAAAAAACGCTGTATAGCGAATGAAAGGGCATTCTGAAAGAGTGTGTTAAAAGTACTTTTACTTTCCTTTGGAAGTTTATTGTATTTGTTGTATGTGCCTTAAAGTACATTGCACCTGGTGTACTTACTACTTTACTTAAAGTACATAACCTCTCATTTACTTTGAACTCCAAATAGTTTTTAGACGTACTTTACGCAACACTGTAAGCAATCAAGCACTGTCTGCAAAATCAAGATCACCCAGTGCTAAACCTCAATGGTGAAATGATACATCCGCAGTACATCCTTGACCAAAAAGAAGTACACAATAATTAGGCATGCAGAAGCAGAACCAGCTGTTAAAGCATTACTGTGGAAACACAAGCCGCTTTATATTCGGCAAGCAGAATTTCGCTAAGGCATCAAAACCTGTGTAAGTACTTCCTTGTTAGCAGAAAAAAAAGTAAAAGTAACTTCAGAAGTAATTCGCTACTTTTTTAAGGTAATTAATAATTTACTGAATTACTTTCCTTCTGAGTAATTTCTACTCTACTCAAATTACTCTTGAGGCTAATACTCAGTAACTTAACTTAATTACTTTTTTAGTAGCTTGTACATGTCTCCTGCCATCCCGCCACCGCATATGAAAAACAAAATAGACAGATAAATGTACAGAATATACACGCTACAGAAAGTATGTAAAAATGAAAGAAACGCAGGCAGGAAGCATGTATCACAATATGACGAGGATGCCAACTGCACACCATACATTCTGGCAAGCTCTCGTGACCCTGCCCCGTTTTTCGGCAGTGGGCTGGGCACACTGAGCGTAATTGTCAGTTGTCAATGTTTCACCTACATCGTTGCATCAATAGGGGGCACGTCGTCGCCATTAGAGAGTTTTAGGGAACCGTTTTTGCACATCCGATACAGTACGATGGGCCCTCCGGTACGAACTGCGCATGCGGCTGTGTTCGGCGATCTTACCGTAATGCGCTGGTGGAACCGTAAGGCACGACCGGCACGGCCAATGGCCGACATGGACAGTCTCGCTTGGTTGGCAAAACGGCTATTTCGCTGGCGGACAGAGCGTGCCGGGGCTCCAAACATGAAGAAAATAAATCGTGGCAGTGCCTGGCAGGAGCGCCATGTTTGACAGCAAGTCCATAAAGTTTGAGTCAGCAAATAAGACAAAGAATAAAGAACAAAACGCAATAGGACTTTTTCAATAGAAATAAATTGGCGTTTAGCATACTCAGAAACGTCTGCTCGGTAGCTCAGTGGATTGGAGCACCGATTTCTTGAGCTCGTAGAGGACCAGTAGTGGACGTTCGAAACCCGCTGGCGCATACACCTTTTTTTTTTTTACATATTATAATTTTTTTTTGTTCTTTTTATACAAACATTGGATGTGCATTTTGAGCACTTATCACCCGTTTTTTAGAGCTGCTGTTATGACTGAGGATTATTTGCAGTGGCAACAGAGTGAGCAACAGCCTTCTGCATCAAGGCTCTGGAAACTTTTTAGTTTAAAAACGTTGCATGAATTAAAAATTTCTGTACAAATGCTAATCACATATATCCTATAAAACGAGCCCTTTGAATATTGGGTGATAGTTTTAATAAGTGCACAGCAGTAAAGTTACAGATTTTCCTTTATATTTTCTTCGTGGTCGTACCGTGCACGGCGCAACGATCGGTACTCGGGCGTACGACCGTGATCGTCTGCTACCTGTACCGTAAGAGAGCAGCATGAGCGCCGCATCTACCACCGTCCCTCCGCCTCCTCCTCGCAAGCGGTTTACAGCAGTAGACAACATCTTTCTATTTCGGGAGGTGCTAGGCGCTACTCCTTTTTCACTCCAGCCCTTTGGAATGACGCAGCGTTGAAAAAGAACTTCTCGTTGCGAGGAGCGAAGGAACGGATTGATCTCCTCGTAAATAAAAATAGAGATTTGAGACGTACTGAAACATACGTCATTCCAAAAATATTCACACTGTATGGAAAGAAAAACAGAAATCATTACATTCCTTACTTATTTAACGAACTCCCAGAGTCCCTTATGAATATAGAATCCACTAGGGTACTAAAAAGGAAACTAAGGAATTGGTGTCATGCATTTCAGCTGTAGATATCGTAGCCTAACCGATGGAGCTGTTTCGTACTTTTATTCCATGGTTGCGTGCGTAGACTTGGCTATAAACACCTATATTTCATGCTCTAAAGTGTTCTTTTTTGTATTTATTTGTGCTTCTAATTTTGTGTTCGTTTCATTTTTTTTGTGCTGCGGAGTGTTTTTTGTTTTTTTTTGTAACAACATGTATTGTAGTTGGTCGCCTGACCCAACATACAAGCAGAATGCTGCTTTTGTGGGCCAGCTCTTTATTTTGTATGACTTGATCTTAAAATAAAAATTGAATTAAATTGAAAATTGAATTGAATTAGCTTTGTACAAGAAAAATGGCCGCATCAACTTGAGAAAGTGAGTATATTTTGGTTACTTTTATATTTTCTTCGAGATTTAATATTTCTAGTTTTATTTGACCATGGCTTTCTTAATACTCGATCCTGCATTGGGCCTCGAGGGAAAGAGACAGGATCGCTAGCAGACGACTTCGAATGTTGATGATAAGCGCGCGCGAGCGTGTTCTTGTGCCAAATCGAGATTGCTTTCGGCAACGTTTCAGCACATCAGGACGTGTTTGGTGTAAACATCATATTTGGTTGATGTAAAACACCGAAGCTTGCCCGCTGAGAACGCATGATTTATTAGACGACAAGTTACCATGTACGATCGAGGCATTATTTTATTCCCCAAGTATATCAATCTGGTAAACTGAAAGAAAAAAAAACCCAAAATGCGCTGGCACATCATTCGTGGTATCCGCACATCATTCCTGGTATCCCAACTTTTTTGTTTACTCAAAAGCTACGCCAAGTTGAACGTCCTATGCCTCGCCGCCAACAAGCGGCTTCTCTTAGTGTATCGGTGCTCGGTGGCACCCGAAAGAAATGCGACTGACTCCGTGTCACGGCAAAACAAAAAGAATGTTTACTCCCTCGTGCCCCTGCACAAGTCACGGGCCCCACGGCACGCGCGTGCGTGCCTCGTTTATAGAAAGCGGGAAGTTCAAAAGAGACTCACGCCACACTTAGTGCGCAGACAGTCGTACAAAATCACTTTTTCTAAATTTCTTTCGCTGAATAGAGCCAACTCCAAGTCATGGTCAGAAAGATCGAGCGCCAGTGTTGTCGGAAAGCTCGTCTGCTTCTTAGCAGATGAACATTTTAGAACTTCGCTGTGCCAGGGGCGACCATAGAGTTATTACAATAAACGCTATAGGTTCAGCTGGCGCTAGTGTGCTGTTGAAAATTGAAGCAGACAGCAAGCAGTCCGAAATGGACTTCCGGTAATGCATTTCTACGGAAAAAAGCGAGCGCATTTTCTCCCTGCGCTCGATTATAAGAGCAAATATCACGAATAATTTGTATGTACTAGGCACATTGGAACGTTTCCCAGACACGCAGATGAAATAATTGGTCAGTTACGGCGTTTTTATTTTAACCCTTTCAAACGCCGCTCGCTATTTTTTAAAGAAAAAAATTTATTTTCTCAAAAAATGTTTTAGGACACCTACATAAAGCAAACATACCTGTTTTCGAGAGTAAAAAAGAAAAAGTAAAAAAGTCAGAGGTATGTACACAATTGTGTACAAAGCGTCATTGTGGTCATCTTCTGAGATGGTCATCTCAGTTGTGGAACGCATAGAAGCAATTGCGGTCTTTCGTTAGGCAAAGAGGCAGATGACACTTTCTGCAAAACACCCTTGACCGTCCTTTGCACTTCTCCAGTTTGCATCGTGATGGCTCCACCTGGTCGCGGGCTTCTGGCCAGTGGTCTACGCCGTCGTAGCGGGCATCTGCACAAGGGCGATGAATTCGCGGCTTCTTCTGTTGGGGAGCTTCAGGTGTCATCTGTTCTTCAAGCGATGGTCTTCCGCGCTTTCGTTTGTTAGGCACCGATGTAATGAGGGCCTCCGCAACGGCTAGCCGAAAGTGCATCAGGTCAAGCAGCTTGGACCTTGGTGTGGCAGCATGGTCCCGGAGATACTCAATCCATGAATTACACACTGCCACGTCAACGAAATGAAAGATAACTCTCAGTGTCCATTTTTTTTACCTGATCTTGGTTCGGTACAAGCTGAGAAGGAAATCCAGCTTATCAACACCACCCATGCTCTTGTTATATCTGGCAATGACTTCAGGCTGGGTGACAGAAACATGCTCACGGGTCTTCTTGTCCCATCTCTCCACCTGACTTGTCGTCCCCACACCAACGAAGTTTGACGCCACTGTAACTGTGTTGTTGTCTTTCCAACACACGACAACAATATTGTCTTGCGTGACGAACTCTTCAGAGTATCCTCTGGGTTTTTTCTTTGTGATCTGCGCAGGTGCAAGTGGGCACTTGCAGAGCCTGTTGGTTCTTGCAGTTCCTGCAGCTAAGATCTTCTCTTTTTAGTTGACGTAGCAGGGGAAGTGATGTGAAGTAATTGTCAAAATACAGCTGATAGTTGCAGCCGGTTGGGATTCGCTTTGCAAGATGGAGCACCACACCTGAGCAAAGGCCATAGTCCTTTTCGAGACTGTTTGGAATGGTATTTTCTCCCTGGTAAACAATGAAATCGTAGAGCATGCCACTCCTTCCACACAGTGCAAATACCTTGATGCCCCATGGTGTCGGCTTCCCTTTCACGTACTGCTTGATCGATAAGTTACCTTTGAATGGTATCATTTGCTCGTCGATTGAGCATTCTTCTTCCAGCTGCAGCTCCAAGCAGCGGGCTCTGATCTGGTCCAAAAGAGGCCGCACTTTCCAAAGTCGGTCTTGGCAGTCGCTGGGTTCATCAACTGTAGCATGAAGGTTGTTCCTTAGTTTGAAGAATCTCTTCTCGCTCATTGTTTCGCTGATCATTGGTACTCGCATCAGACGGTCCCAGTAGAGTCGTACACGAGGCAGAGACACCACTCCAAACAATATGTGCATCCCGAAAAGTTTCCTCATCTCGTCGGGCGTCGTGTTGACGTTGACATGCGATGTGTGCACACTGTAGAGGTTCGTGGATTTCGCAATGCATGCGAAAATTGATTCCGGCACATACCTAGAAAAGTATGTGTAGGGCGTGTATGCCTCGTCTAGCTCCGGAAGGTCGTCAGTGGGCCCAGTAAACTGGAGGTCAGATGGAGGAAGAAAACTTTGTTTCTTCCACGAAATGTTCTTTTTCACGTTCTCTGCAGCGCTGTCATATTCAGCTGGATCCTTTTGCGGCACGTTTTCATCATCCGATGCATCAATAGGCACATCACGGGCAAGCTCTGCGCGGGCACCTTCTTCTTCAAGAGCGTCGTCGTCGTCGTCATCACTTTCCCCGACGTCAGAAACTTCCCCTGCAGCAATAATCTGCAGGAGTTGCTCTGCAGAGTGTTTTGTTGTTTCATGACACTTCTTTTTGTAGAAAATTGTACATGGCACGGCAAGAATATCTGAAAAAGGACGGTAAAACACGGCGGTTCAGTCTCGAACTGCATGCAGTCCCAGCATGACGCTTTGCACACGTTTGTGGCCATTCCCAATTTGTGGCGCTGAGAAATGTTTTGAAGCTTCCGGATGTCTAAATTTAGAGAATGTACTTTTGAAAGAATGAGTTATTGAGTAGTTATTTTATTTAGGCTCCAAGAAAGGGAGAACTAGCAATAAAAAAATGAAAATATCCCTACCTGCCGTCGCAGATGCGTTCGCTGCCATGTCGTCTTTTTTCTTCAATGTTTCTCACCGCATTCGGCAGATGGAGCCACAAAACACAGAGTTGCCAGAGCGAGTGTATATAATTCGGTTAAAATCATCAAAATGTCTCAGAATGGAACCCGCTTGCTGAAAAAAGCCAGTTTTCTTGGTGTACACAATTGTGTGCATAGCGTTTGAAAGGGTTAAAATCGTGGCATGAAAAACGGTGCTAAAACCGCTTCGTACATGTATTTATGTGCACTGTCGGACACTGTTAGCGCGAACACGGCCCCGGCGCTTTCCAGCATGGGGGTTTATGTGCCAAACGAACGAAGGACATGTGGAAAACCAAGAGAGACGGCAAGAATTACGCAGTAACACTGGAGAAGTAACTCCTTGTAATTGCAGACGATCAAAATAAATTGAAAGTCACATAATATAGTCCGATTTGCAATAAATAAGTACTGCTCTATTCCTTCTGCTCATGAATACATGCGAAGATGCTTGTTCTGTGTTCAAATCATCACCCGCACGCTCCAAATCTTTGCAAATAGGGGGAAGTCAAAGAACAGATGAGCGATAAAAACTGCCTTTTATAGAAAATAATAAGAAAATACTCCTTTCGTAGCCCACCTACTTCATTCCTTACGTTTCGAACGTTTTTTTTCACCACTCGTAAAGATGCACGACGGGGGCATTTTCATATATTGAGCTAGGACAGGCATATTAGCAATATATAAGCACCAACGGAATGCTGGCGAACTTTTAACACACTCCACATTCCTTTCGATCGTTATTTTGCTTGGAATCGTCGCTCGTTTCTGCATACCTGCCATGAAACAGAGGTTTGGGCCTGAAATTTAGCGAAGTTTAACATCGTTCAGTGGTAAAGTAAAAAGGCTGTAACTAAAGCAATTACACTTTCACAATATTAATAAAGGTACATACTATCCGGTACAACCGAAATAACAAAAGTTATTAAGGTTATTTGCCGGCGACGAGACAAATTTCACGCGCATTTTCCCATAGGAATACACAGGAAGACTGGAAAAGAAGACTGCATGCTGTCTGCTTCAATTTGCAACCGGAAGTCCCGTAGACACTAGCGCCAGCTGAGCCTCTAGCGATTATTGTAATAACTCTATGGGGGCGACACGCCGTGGTGCGCCAGGTATCGTATTTTGGAAGCGCATTCATTCCAGTAAAAAAAACGAGACGAACTATAAGTAGGTATACTATATTTTTGGTTCTCTATATAATTAGGGTGCGAAATTTATTTACTTGAGTTTCTGCGATTTGTACAAACACACACAAATTTGTCTTTTCTCGATGAGGCAGATGCAGGTTTCCGTTTCCAGGGGGCGCGATCTGTACCGATCGTCTGCTATTGTCTGCAAATACGTTTCCCCAAAGCCGTTTCAGGGCACACGATCGGTCCACACGCCCGATCCAAGGTATCGATCGTTTTTGTTTATCGATCGTATTTTGTTCCGGTTCCCTAAAACTCTCTATTAACAAATTGTTACTGACGATGACGCACCCCCTATTGACCAGTCACCATACCGAGGGGGGGAGGGGGGCGGGGTAATGCCTCCTGCAGGGCAGAAAAAGAAACGCTCGATGATGGGCTTCTAGAAGATACGAGTTTATTCTTGCTCCGAACGTATCCTTTGTCATTCATTCCTGCTTTCTTGTTCTCTGAAGTGCCAGTTCATTCTCGCTCTGAGCGACCGACACTCGAACCTTCTTTGTTGAACTTTCGAAATAGGGATGCAAAGCAAATAAGCAGCTGCCCGCCACCTTGTCGAGTCAGTCTCGCACTAGCGCTCGATCCTGCTGTTACGCCAGCATCGACGCCCGCGACGCTGTGATGTTATCTTCCGTTCATACTTTGTTTTGCGAACAAGTTTGACCTATTCAGCGTTTCAGTTTCCTCAGTTATTTTTTGTTTCGTCACCTCGTCATTCGGGACAGCATTTCGTCTCTGTAGGGCGTCGCCATAGGTCGTCGTCGTAGGACGTCATTATTTGTCGCCAGTGTTGCCAGTTGTCGACATTAATGTTCGTTGGTCATTGTCTATAATTGTTCATTGCAATAACCGTCAGTGATGGTAGTCGGCATTAGCCGTCGCTTCAGTTGTCGCAGTTGGTAGTTGTTTGTTGTTATCGATGCAGGATGTTGTTGTAGTATATTGTGGACTGGAGTCATGGTCCGTATGTGTTCCCAGCTCTAACGACAGTCGTACTTATGGTGTTTCCGGAAACATTACGATAAATAAAACTTCCACCCCCATCAGAGTGTCACGAATGAAAACTGATAAAAAAGAATGTAAAACTGAATGTAAATATAAATCTTTAACGGGGAGAATTTCCGCCCAAAATCTTAAAGTAAGACAAAACTATGCTTTGAGTGGCGCCGACGAAAAAGCGACTGTCTCGATGATGCCAGTCTCGGCTTCTTTATGCAGACTGCAGAGTTCAGAACACTCTGAGCAGGAACAAGCGATACATTACAAGATGCAATTAGAAAGTTTGGAGAATTATCAAAAATAAATAAACATTTAGGCAGGAGTGGTTTGATATCTCGTGCATTTGCAGGCGAGCTGCTTGCGATGCCTACATTACAATACACTATTAAATATTTAACTGTAATGTTGAATAATCTTTTCAGTCAATACTTCGGAAAATTCAAATATATTAGATTAACCAAAATTATATATGAGTACTGAGACTGGCGTTTCATTCAAGTTTTAAAAATTGTAATAAAAGAGCATGTTTTAAATTAGGAAACATTCAGTTTTTTTATTTGATGCACTTCTGAACTCACCCGCAAAATATTAGTACATGGTTGACAAATTTATTGATATTGTGAAGGTGTTACTTTTGCAATAAAAAAAACAACCTGCAATTTGTTTTGTTACAGTGACACCCTGTAGTGATGAAAAGTTTTATTAAACAGAGCACGTCGTACAAAGTGAGAGGCTCTTGGCACCATCAAATATAAAACTCAAAGAGAAAATTATGTACAGCGAAGAACATCGTAAATTTCGTAGGTCTGCCGTTGATGAGAGGTTACTAGATTTTAAGAGCCATTATAAAGGAAAATGTGGATTCTTATTTAGGCCACTAGATTGTACAGAACTTGTGAAAAGATAAAATGCTCATGAATAAAACATTGCAGGTGTATGGGAAGCTTATCTCCTGATGGGATGCTTCAAAATCGAAACGGTAACACTAGAGTGGAGGCCTTAATCTACAAGGCGGACAGAGCTGGAAGAAAGGACTGATACATCTCCACCTGCTGCGATTCGCCAGCGGTGCGAGCTGGCGAATCGGAGCAGGAGCCGATGTCGTGGTCTTTTGGTTCCGCTTGGTCCCCCGTGTATATTAGTGCCCCAGATTTGCAGAAATCAGAATAGTTGTGTCATTATTCCTGGAGTGTGTGTGTTTGTGTGTGATGGTGGGGGCTTGTCTGGTAGCATGCATGCCGGGGCCGTATACTATTCGTCGCGGCCGCCAGATGCAGACCTATAGCCTACCGATAGAATGCATCGCGATTCTGCGCTTCACCAGTGTGTATCTATTAGTTTTGTCATGCATGAAATTTTCTCCTTTACATTCTATCGCAACCATTGTTCTTTTACATATTTTGACAATAATTTATAGATTTGTAAATTATCTCTTTGTTCGTACAGTGTAAGTGAGTACTATTTCTAGAAGAATGTACATTGACTTAATTTTACAAAAAGGAAGTCAATGACTTCTTGCGAGGAACCAGACTATAACTGGTCTCACCGATGGCACTATGTTTCAAAAGGTCTGGGTCCGAGCACATTGTTAATGCATGCAAATCGGCAATATAATAATGGCACACGTGATCAACAGCCGAGACGGTCAATTTACCACGCGTGGCCAGCGTTATCGCGAATACACCGAGGTCGAGAATGGTTGGGCCATTCCTACTTATCAATTTCGTGGGTCCTTTAACAGAGTTATTTTTCTCTTCATCGCAAAGAATATTTCTTATTCAAAGCTGAATCCCTCTACAGTCCGTTACAAGTCAAGAAGGTAGTAGAAGTTCCTCCCCACAAGCGTGATGCGCCCGCTTCAAACACTTCCGCAGTCGAGAAAATAGTTTACTGGAAACGCCCCTTCTTTCCCAATTGATACATATTGGCTACAGACAAACCTTGTGGCGGGCGGCAACTTGTGCCACCTAGCCGAGGCGAAATATGAATTTAGGCTTCTACATTACTCTCTCCGCAAAATTAAATAAAAAAAAAAGATTTAGTGGCAAAGAAAATTTTTTGTCGGTAAGAAAGAGGTAGAGGATCTTAGAGGGATAAACCAGAAGTTCGAAAGTGGCACCCTCTTCCCCTGGTAGCCGCCATGCTGTACGCATAAGTGACTAATCGTCACGTGATCTCAAGAGTGCCGTGACGTCACCGGTAAGATGGCAGCGCCCAGAGCTGGTAGATGTGAGCTTGTTCAGTGTATAGCAGCCGTGATGCGCCGCTGCTTGCCGACGATCTCGAGCTTCTTTTTGCTCTCTGAAGCACGTATAATGTGAAGATTGGAAGGAATAGGACTTATATCCTTTTTGCGCAAGATCGCTCTGTATATTAGCACCTGTGAGACATCATCTGTCGTATCACCGTAGTGGTGCTCGGATTCCCGGATCGAAAGAAATTTTAGAGCTTTTAGCAAAAATGTTCGCATTCTCCTTGCTTTGTTTGAATTTCTTGCAATCGATGTGAAATGTATGCGTCGCACATAGTGCCTAGGGGAAGTTGTTTCAGCCCTGGGTATTCGCATTATCACAGCAACCTTTCGCGAGGAAGCTTCTGAAACCTTTACGTTTTCTACTTGTCAACAATGCTACGACATAACGCTTAGCCTAATCTTTTAGTATTTTTCCAGCTTCGTTTCAACGTCGTAATGTCTGAGAAGCGACGCGAGATATATGCGGTAAGTGTAGGGCCTAGGCAGAGTTGTTTTATCCATGGGTCTCTGAAGATCCCCAGACACATTTAGAAAG